TAAAAAATAGAACTCACTGCACATATTGTGTTTATATGGTTTATGTAGTCTTGTGTTTATATAGTTTTTAGTTACTTGCATCTTTTTACTCATGATTCATATGTCACATTATATATGTATATATGTATATATATATATATATATATATTAATAGAAAATACAGAAGAAAGCTTTAGGTTTTCTGGCTCACTCCTCTTTCTTGCTCTGAGACTCTACTACTTGAGCCACAGCTCCACGTCCAGCTTTTTGCTGGCTAATTGGAGATATGAGTCTCTTGAATTTATCTGCCCAGGCTAGCTTTGGACCTCCATCCATAGAGTTCAGCCCTTTGAGTAGCTATGATTGTGAGTCTAAGCCACTTGCACTCAGTTACTCTTTGAATCTGATTATTTTATTAGATTTTAAAGTAATTTTCAGTATTTAATCTTGGTAATCACTTTAATTGAAATACAACATGAAATGTATTGATACAGGTGATAAACAATTTTGTATACCTATATGCTTATTATAAATTATGTATAACTTATTATATAATTAATGTATAATACATAATAATATATTATATATAACATATATAATATATGATATAATATTATATACATTATAATTATAATAATATAAAAATATATAATTATTATATACAATAATGTATATGATTTATTATTGTATATAATACCTTATATAATATTATATATCTATATTATTACACACATTTATATAGTTATATATTACATTATATATTAAAATATTAATAATATAATGTATTTAATGTATAATATTAACATATTAATGATATGTAATGTAATATAAAATATATAATTACATCATATATTATATGTGTGTATATAGATGTATATATAGATTTAAATACATATACTACATGTACATGTATTTGCAATCATTTGTATTTATCATGCACATACAATACAACCATTGTGTTAACATTTGAATATGTTGTAATTTTACTGACACCATATTTACCCCTGACTTGGAACTCACAGGAGTAGTGCATAAATACAAAGACATTGACTCAAAATATCAGTGCTATGATTTCTGTGCCTGTTTTGAATAACATATATCTATAGCACAATATTTATAGCCAATGTACCCCCCATCATCTGAAAATTCTAACCTGGTTGAATGCAAAAAGAGGTATAGTGTGTATAGATAAGTGAAGTAAAAGTGTAATCATGTTGGTGATATTGAAACATGTATAATTATTCATATTTTTATTGTGGTTGCTCTTGTGTTTTTCAGTTGTACAATCTCTCTAACAAAGTAAGGGTTTTCTTAAATTACATGCATTACTGTAAGATCTAGAAGCAATCATGTTTTCAGCAGCATACAAGGAGGTTTCCTCTCATTTCTTTGTTTGTACTTTATAGCACCAAATTATCAGTCATCTCCAGGGTGCATTTCCCCTAAGGCAAGCAGCTGGAGAAGAAACAAACAATGAAATCATGGAACATAAGTTGAAAGTCTTTAATTCAAGACATCTCAACATTGCCAAAAGGTTTAGAAACTCATGGAGATGCCATCTCTCCCTTCCTCTTGAATTATACTTCTCAAGAATCATTCACTGTCTTTATTTAGTAAAATTTATGAGACTATTTTAATTTGGAGAATATTGTGCGTGCAGATTTTGCCTTTTTATTTATTTACTTTTTAATCAGGTCCTCCAGCTGGCTAGAATATATATATCTATATATCTGTGTGTGTGTGTGTGTGTGTGTGTGTGTGTGTGTAGCTTCAGCCCCATGCCAGGCCCTTGCATGTAGTTTTTGAATAAAGGCAGTGAAATATCCACTGACATGTACTTCAGGAAAATCTGTTTTTGGTAAGTTCCTTTGACAAGGGGAATCTTTTCCATCCTATATCAGAATTATTGAAATACCGAGGAGATAAAAATAAACCTATGTCAGCTGAAGGGCAATTGTTTCTACTAATTTTAAATACTGCTACATATTAAACTGCTAAACTGGATATTCACCTTTTTTACTAGGTTCATTTGACTGAGTTTGAATCCATGTCCTTAATTGTATTCCATACATGATTACTTTCAAATGAAATGTTACATGTAAACTTTGTTTTCATGATAAGTAATAAATTCAGATACATGAAGTGCCACACAGACAAGAATATTCCTACAAGATAGAAACATACACTGTGCATTTAAAATATGTTGTGATAATATAGGTGCAATGAAAAATAGATGAGGAGAAAATAATAAGATTTGAATACCAGAATGTTTACTGGGAAGAGTTATGTGGAAAACTTACCACAGAAACAGGATACAATGGAAACATTATAGAAGAACGTGGCCATTTTCTTGAAGAAAAAGAAATGAAAAAGGACTTTCATGGAATAGATTTTTAATACTCTACAAAATGTCAAAATGACATTTTTATTTACCTAATGGGAAATTAGGTAGAGATTCACATAGAAACATTTCAGTTGAATTTCTTAACGAAGTGCTATGAAACCACTTGAATTATTTCCTTCAAGGTCTCAGCCATAGCTGGTCTTTAGTTTCACACACTAGCAAGGAGCACTATTGCCTTGTAATACTAGGAAAGAAGAGTGATGAATATTTTCATATTTTTCTTTTTAAAAAAATTAATTCTTGGTCATTTTATGATGACAAAGGACAGGAATTGTAAAACAACAAGAAAAAGAAGATTACATAGCAAATAGCACTAGAAGCAGAAGCTAGTAGAAGTTTGAATTCAGACTTGATAACTTTCACAAAATTAGCACTATAGTCTTACCACAATCTGTGTAGTGCTGCTCATCCCAGTGATATTTTTGAGACACAATCTGGGAATGTAGCTCATGGTGGCCTTGAAATCATGACCCTACTGCTTCAACCTACCAAGTGCTTGGATTTCAGGTCCCATCTCAACCGGCTCCTAGTCTCTTCTGTACACTACCGAGTATCATATGCAGAGTTTATGCTTTTAGAGTTGAGATGGAAGAAAATTGAGAAATGTTTAACAAATTTCCCTAGTTGTGATCAGAAATTTTAGGGCGAACCTGAAATTTTAGGGAGAGATTCTAGGTAGAGAGCTGAGGTGACTATGCCAGTAGTCCAATTATCCTGGCCATCAGGATGCACAACTGCAGTGGGGGGTTAGAGAAGAACGAAGCTGGGAATAAAATGCAATAATCAATGCACAATAACCAATTTGGTCCTCAAATTCAAAACTTGTAAAAATGGAGTTTGTGGTTGGTCAGTACTCCCTCCACAAATGATGGCGTAGGAAAAGATTGAGCAAACTTAGTCCACAGATTATCTACAGAGTTTATGTGTGTTGATACAAGACAAGTAAAACCCTTACTTGGCATTGATAGATAGATAGATCAACATCAGAGGACATATCTTTTATAGTTATATAGAACTGAATATGATAATCAGTGCCTTGAATTCTCTCAATGAGAATATTTGAAGAGAGATCTTATAGATGTGAGAAGAGGTATATTCATGCAAAAAATGGCCAGTATAAATTTAGTAATGGTTACTAATCTCAAAGAATATGAAAAAGGTCAGGGATTCTTTCATTTAAATCTCTCTTATGTCTGTCTTGATCATTCTTTCAAGATTTTCACAAAGGTTAGGTTGTTATCATTATATGAGTTGTGCTTTAAACATTCAGGGAATTTTATCTTCAAGACAAATGGTAGAATCTTTATTGAAACCAGAAGGGGTGAAATTGATAAGATGCCTTATATTCTTAAATTGGCATGCTGAATTGAAATCCTTTGTATGATTACTCAAGGATAATAACAAGTAAAAATAAACAAGAATTTTTCATCAACACACGTTGCCAACAGACTAAAGTTCCCCCCGGTCCCTCATTTCCACAATAGAATGTAATGCTACAGCTGATGCTCTCTACCTAAGACCCAAAGTGGCAGGGCTCATGGAAAATTTCATGATTTGTCTTTTTTCTCAGATGACTTAATATGCTTATTAAATCTTTACATCTATTTCTAGAATTGCTTATTCAGGCTCAGTTATCTGAAAATTTCAATGTCTGGACTCCTTTGTGGATAACAAAAACAGTACTTTTTTAATTACTTGATCATATTTAGATTTGCTTTCTTCCTTATCTACCTCTTTTCAGTTGGCCTAGACCTGAATTATGTTTGTGTGTTTTGAATGAGGTTTTTCTTGTTTAACAATATATATTTGGGAGTTTTTCATTGTTAATACACTCCTGCTGAATAAAGTATGTACTACAGACAGACTATATAACTTGCACAACTTAATCATTATGAAATATTTAAAATAGCTCCAAAATTCTTCCTTAGGATAGCACTTACTTGAGTGTTAAGCCTCTTTAAAAATTATGAGGTGGGTAGAGACAATGGCCACAATATAATAGCTTTTAGAGGAATCATTAAAGAAATCACTTAATGATCCTGTATCTCCTTTAAGGGTCTTCTATCTCCTAGCATCCAAGAGAATGCAAACTCTCATTACAAGGAGCAACACATATCCCTTGAGATAAATTCCCCATTTTTTAATATTTTTCTTTTTTCTTACATTTTCAATGTGCTAAAATTTCCTCATTACTACCAGGCATGAATATGTTACCAATGAAATCTGTTCAATGCTTTTGTGATTTCTCTCTCTTAATATACATATATATATATATTTAAATATATCCTTTGTTTTCATATTTTATCTTACTATAAATATTTCCAGTATAGATACTCTTCCAAATAGTCTGCTTAAAATGCTACTGGCAAGTACTATGATTTTATTTCAGATGAGGAAATGACAGTGATGAAAAACAAAGCTACTTGTCCACACACAGAAGCCATGAAAATGATCCTCAAAGAATGAAATAAAGCAGAAGAATCACACATTCCAGTTGACCCTGGTTTGTCTTCACTAGATCTATTGAGATTCTGCTGAGTTGTTGCTTTGCCCCCTTGCAGACCCTCCTGCTCAGTTTTCTTTTCTTTCTGCTTATTACTTTGTTGAATGCAGGATCATGGTCTATGATCTGGTAAACCAGAGTTTCGTGACCACATTTACCTTGATCGGCTTTTCTGAATACCCACACCTATGGGCACCCCTCTTCTTTATATTTTTAACCATCTACATGGTCACGGTGGTGGGGAATCTGGGGATCATTGTGGTCATCAGAATCAACCCCAAGCTTCAGACACCCATGTACTTTTTCCTCACCCACCTTGCATTTTTGGATATGTGTTATTCCAGTGTGTTTACACCCAAACTCTTGGAGATCTTAGTTGTGGAAAACAGGATTATCACCTTAGAAGGATGTATGATACAGTATTTCTTTGGATGCACATTCGTGATTACAGAAATGTTTATGCTGGCAGTGATGGCCTACGACAGGTTCGTGGCCGTCTGTAACCCTCTGCTCTACACAGTTGCCATGTCCCGCCAGCTCTGTGCTCTCCTGATAGCTGGGACTTATCTGTACGGTGGCCTCTGCTCCGTCATCCTCACCTACTCTCTTTGGCAACTGTCTTACTGTGGACCTGGCATCATCAATAACTTTGGCTGTGAGTACTCTGCAGTCCTCTCTGCATCGTGTTCTGATCCTTCCTTCAGCCAGATTGCATGCTTATTCATCTCCATATTTAGTGAGTCCTGCAGCCTCCTGATCACCCTGGCCTCCTATGTGGACATAGTTGTCACCATCATGAGGATGCCCTCCAAGGGAGGGCTGAGAAAAGCCTTCTCCACCTGTGCCTCCCACCTGACTGCCATCAGCATCTTCCATGGGGTCATTCTCTTGCTCTACTGTGTGCCCAACGCCAAAAGCTCAAGGCTCCTGGTGAAAGTGGCCACTGCTCTTTACACAATCCTCATCCCCATGCTGAACCCCCTCATCTACAGCCTGAGGAACAAGGATGTGAAGGAGACAGTCAGGAGGTTTCTCCACTCCAAACTGCATCCCCAGTTGATTTGATTAAAATTCAAATAATTTTTATATGCCATATATATATTAAATTGATCCCATTTGGGAATTAAGTGAGTAGTACTTTGATCTTATTACAATTATTGCCTTTATAGATGACACATGTCCATATAAATTCACACTCTATTCTTACAATTTGACTCACCAAGGGATATAATATACAACCTCCAGTTTCTCCTTCAGAATTGAATAACTAGACATCTATGCCTATCACTCATATACCATCAAAAGCTCTGAAATATTAAAATATTTTTTCTTTGTTTTCCTAAATTGAAAAGGTTGTAGCAGCAGGTTAACATTCCATTTGAGCCACCAGTGCTTTGCATTCAGACTCACCATCAGGATCCCCACTCAAATTCATTTTACATTTCCTTCCTTCTTTATCATTTACTATAGTGACCATTCTCACTCCATCTGTTCCCTTTTTCTCTATCTCTAGCTACCTCCCTTCCCCACTTCTAATATCATTTTTAATTTTCTGAGACTCATTTTGCTCAACTGATCATTAATTGTTGGATTGCTTACTTCATGGAGTTTCCCTCCTGCATATACTGTGATTTAATTAACCAGGATATTAGAACTGAAATAAAATACCTTTTAAGAGAGAAAAAGCATTTAAATTATGAAAACTCAGACTAAGACTATTTTTAGAACAAGCTATTAGTATTTATAGATGAATTCACATTAAATGAAGATCTTCTCTTTATGAAAATAGACTGAAATTAAGCTGGCAGGTGGTAGAAATAAGTTATGCGTCATTTATTTTTGAGTATCAGTGTATTGTTTTACATTCCAATAGCTGCTCAAGCCTGCATATCTGTGTCATATCTTCATAACATTTCAATAACCAATGATAGCCATATAGATAAGCCCAATGTAAATGTAAAGGAATTATTTCTGGCTCATAGAAATGAAAAGCCACATGGCTGGATGTCATATAAACACAAAACTATTTTTCTATATTTCAATATATATTACTCACAAACTTTAATGTAGCAATAGCTTATTATCTTATTATCATGGAAATTTGACAAAGTTTTCCATTGATGACTGGCTTAGAATTTTCTAGAACCTCTTGCTATTAATAGGTCATGTCTGAGGAAGACCAATTCTATGGAAATGACCAAGTAAAATAGTTTCAGTTCCAGTGCATTCCATTCACATTGTATCTGTGTTTTCACAATTGCTAAGCAACATAAACAATATTTCAGCAAATTATGGTATTTAGCTATAGGTTTACATATAGTTTATTTAACTTTTACTAGTCTGTCAACCAGAAGACATACATACCAACCTAAATATTCAATCAATTACTGCATAAAATTTAAGAAGTATATTTTTAGAGCAAAAATTGAATTTAAGTTATGTGAGCCTCATATAAAAAGTCTACATTTGGCACAAGTTATATGAGCACTCTTAAAGTGATGATGATGGCTGTACGATAAATTAAACTTTTGGAACTGCAAATAGCATTATGCATTACAAAAAGAAATAAACTACAGCTAAATCTGTGTAGCTATCTGTACTCTATGTATAAATTGCATGGTGTGAATTGATTAAAATTTTGGCGGCCTGGAATGGTGTAGTTTTTGTGTTTTGATCACTCATGATAAGACTTTTAGTGATAATATGCAAGATTAATGGGATAATATCCAGAAATAATAGTAATTTAGTGGTGAAAGTATTATATGTTGTATGCTAACCATATTACATAAATGTATTTTCATATCATGTTGAATTTCTAATGGTAACTTTCTGGTTTTATTTAATGTTTATATACCTCCCACTATTAATGAACCCCCAGGAAGACCTAATTAAATCATAGCCTTTTCTCTAATTTGCTAATACATCACAGAAGATATTATTTCAATGCTACATAAAATCATACCAATAAAAAGGGAATATAAGATTAGAATGAGGAAAAAAGAAAACTACAGAAAAAGCTCTAATAAGTGAGTGGTGACAAATGTTTTAAAATAATAAAAGGCGTTTTTATTGAAATATAATAATGAGCATATATCATTGTCAGGAGGAATTTAGCATAAAATGCACTATTGGAATAACTTTTCTTTTTTGTAGTTAGAAGGATTTGATCCCCCTTGGTTCTAGCCCTACTCTTTTTTTCTGGTTAATTAGAAATGGAATTTTAGATATTTTTCAAGACATAAAGAATTCACTCTGATTCTTCACAAAAGTATTTTGTAAGTAAAAGGAGAGGAAGTTTCCTCTAATTTCTTCATATTTCACACAACAAGCTCTCAGGATCCCCTGGGGTCAATGTCTCCAGAGTCATGCGGATAGACATGAAATAAACAGCGTGATCATTGAGGCATAAACGCTCTGCGTGGGTCTTTCCCTTGAGAATCCTCTTCCAAATGTCTTGGCAGTTGAAGATATTGTCATATTGCCTCTTTTACACCATTCTACTGAATTAGTGCATTTGTTTGAAAAATTTATGAGTGCATAAGAATGAATTTTAGGAAAGATTGTGCATATAGTTTATTACTTAGAGCAATGGTATAATCCATTTACAACGCACCTCTGTATAATTGGCTTAAGGTAAGTTGTTTTATTATTGGCATTTTTTTTGCAATTTCATATGAAATACTTTGGGAAGGAGAAATTCTAATTTTCTTGGTGTGCAAAGAAATCATGATATATCATTATTTTAGTTGATGAAATATATTATGGTGCTTAAGACAGTTTGCTATGGCCATTTGAAAACTATGACCTTCATTTTTCTGTGTTACATAGACTAGAGTTTTTTTTAAAATTACTTTGTTGTTATAATGGAGGTGAGGGACAGAAGGATTGCATGAGTCAGGTAATGAGTTCATTTCCTTTCACACAGTGTCTTCTGCTCCCTCACTCTCTCTCTCAGTCCCTCCCTCCCTCCATCCCCACCCATGAGTTTTAACTTCACATTCACCAGTGTCCAGTGAGCTCCATGGCTGTACTTTTTCACTCTTTTCTCCTCGAATTCTGTGCCCCACCAATCTCTGGAATGCACCATACATAAGGTAAAGAAGATAGAATCATCAAAAACTGAAAACTGAAACAAAAGGTTTTTCTTAAAAGGTTTTTCTTTTGTTTCTACATCTTGGAGTTTGTTTCAGTATGTATGTTATTTTATATAGATAGGAAGAGGCACTTAGGCATTGTGCCTTTCTGATTCTCTCCTGAGAGTATGTATTATCCTTTTGTGTCACTTGATGTATAATTTGTCATATTCCAATGCATGAACCATTGATCGTCTGAGCTTGTTTTACCTCACCTAACATCATTTGTTATAGTTACATCCATTTCCCTGCAAACAACATTATTTGATTCTTTCTAATGGCTTAGTAAAATTCCATTATATATATTTGCAACAGTTGTTGGATCCACTCATCTCTGTGGAGCATCTGGGCTGTTTCCATATCTTGGTTATTGTGAATAGTGGCAATGAACGTGGATGTGCAGGGGTCCTTATCACATCCTGGCTCATGTTGTTCAGAGTAGATGCCCAGAAGTGATATGGGTGGGTTGTAGGGAAGGTCTACATTTAGTATTTTGAGGAATCTCCAGAAAGCTGTCATAGTGGTTGTACTATTTTACGTTCCCACCAATGGTATAGTAGGGTTCTTTTATCCCCATATCCCTGCCAACATTTGTTGTTCGAATTCACGATGTTGGCCAATTTACTGGGGTGAGATGGAATTCAGAGTTGTTTCAATTTGCATTTACTTGATGGCCAGGTAAAATAAGAATAGAACAGGACTTTTAATGACATGTTAAATGTATGCTTTGTCCTCAGGAAAGTAATAAATTCAGAAACAGGGACTACAATATATGCATAACAGGATAAATAAAATCTAGCATAGTGTGCTAGTCATGTTAGATATACATGTTAGATATACATAGATATCATGTTAGATACACAAGTTAGATATAAAGAAAATAGAGATGAAAAGTGTTGATATTTGGACTCCAGAAAGTTTTCTTGGAAGATCCATATGACAACATACCATTAAAACAGGACATAGGATAAAACTTTAGAGGAGAAATGGGGTCAATGTATTCAACAAGAAGACACCAAATACAGTCTCTAAAAGACAACATTGAAAAAAGTCTATGCAAATTGATTAAATAAACTTGATTAGGTTATTCTTGGGAATTATTGTAGAAATCCATGGAGAATAGGTTAAATTTGATGCTTCATATAACTGAATGCTGTCCTAAAGATTTAAATTATTGTCATAGAGGCTGAGGTATGTTTAGATAGTAGCATCATTAAACTAGCCAGCCACATTCTGCAGAAATAGCTGCAGGTGACAGTAGAAATAAGATGGAGGAATATCGGGACATTGCATGATTTCTCTTTTCTCTCTACTGACACATCCAGGATTATGGGAGGGTCTGCACAAAGGGTGATGGGAAGGCAGCGGAGCCAAGAAGATGACACAGAGGACATTGCTGGATTGATAAACTGAGGGAAATTTCAATTCAAAGTAAAAAAAAGAGCAAAATAGAGATTTCACATCCTTTTTCTTTTCTTTGTGAATAGTATGAACATTGGTGCAGTTTATTTATTTGGTGAAGTAGTGTCCCTTGTGCTAAACTAATTAGGCTTCCCAACACCTTGATTACTTTAAAATATTAGTAAGGGTAATTTTATTACAGTGATTACTGTACCCACTGTGATATGATTGGTGATATTATGTTTCTGAGAGATATTCCAGCTATGTAGCATAGGCTGGCCTTGAATAAATGATCTTTCTGTCTCAACTTTCCAAGTGCCTCGATTGCAGGAAGGCTCCACTTTGCACCTCTCTTAGTTTACTTTTTCAATTACTAAGTGTAATATGTAGAACTTGCATTTCAAGGTTTGAGAAAAACTACTCAGCGATGGTTGGACAACTCATCAAAATTAAAATGAGATAAAATCAGTTGTTTCCAATGTTCTGAATGGCTGGAAAAAATTAAAATTGTGGGGAAGGATTCTAGAGAGCCAGAAGGTGTTGAATGAAAACAAACAGTGGGCCAGTGATCCAATCAATTAGGATGATATGACAGGCTTCAAGAAGAATTAGAAATTAACCACAGTGGGATGAAAATTTAGTATAAAATCATGTTGTGTAATCAGGGCCAAAAAAAAAGAGAGGAAAAAGAAGAATAAGAAACAAACAAGAATTTTAATTTTCCTCCAAGGTCAAAAAGAAAAAAAAAACCTTTAAGGAACAAAAAATATAAGTAATTCAGTTCTATAAAGACATCCTATGGCTGGGCGTTGGTGGTTCATACCTATAATTCTAGTTACTCAGGAGGCTAAAACTCTGAGGATTGTGTGTCAAAGCCAGCCCAGGCAGGAAAGTTGATGAGATTCATCTCCAATAAGCTATCAAAAAAAGCAAAAAGGGCTGGGAAGGTGGCTCAGTGGTAGAGTGCTTGCCTTGCATGCATGAGGCCAGAAAAAAAGCCAGAAGTGGCACTATGGCTCAAGTGGTAGAGTGCTAACCTTGAGCCGAAGAGCTGAGGGACAGTGCCCAGACCCAGAGTTCCGGACCCACGACTAGACCTCCCCCCACAAAATAAGCGAGAAGTGGAGCTGTGGCTCAAGTGGTAGAGCACTGTTAGGCTTGAGCTTAGGAAGAGCACCCAGACCCTAACTTCAAGCCCCAGTACTGGCACCAAAAAAATAATCATGCACATAAATATATAGAGTCTATTACATATATCAATTATATATATTCTATGATCCATGATGTTCAAACATAGAAGTAATTATGAAAATCAACACCCCAGATTCTTTTAATAATATTGTTTGAGAAGAGTCTTTTTGATGTTAAGATGGGAGCTTTGTGTTAGAATTTGTTAGTAGAAAATTTGCTAGTGAAGACTAAATACAAAGAATGGTAAAATTGTAAGGAATACTTTGATTAAAATTCTGCCCATACATATTTTCTATATATAATATGTATATATTATAAAGAGAAAATATTTGCCATAAATATTACTCATTTATACTTAGGCAAATTATCTAGGGATCTTTCCCCCATGTAAGCTGGAAAATATTTAGAGACCAGTTTCTTCAAGAGTCATTATTGTAGGAGGACAGTACAACTCAGTTTTCTTACCCTATGTGACCATCACCTATGGAATTAACCGGATTTCCTAATTGAGAAGAAGAGTCCTTTCACACCTGTGATTAACAGAACAGTGCACAATATACATCAGTCTCTTGTGAGTCTCTACAGCTGAGTAGTCTACCTAGATTCCAAAGTAGAAATTTTCATAGACATTTCAAAGTTACGACCAAGGTATATGTGATTTCCAGAATCAGTCATTTATTTTGGACAAATGGTGTGAATTTATTAAAATTAGACACTTTATGAATTAAAAAATCAAGTGCTCATGCTAATCTTATATATGTTTTCTCCTAGACCAACACTTCTAAGTTACTAAAAATTAACCAGTTGTCTCTCCATCTGTCCAACAATATATACAACAGACAGACTGTGTTCCAAGTAGAAACTTGTAATAATATTTTCAAAACACTTACATTATTCTATTTTGTTTGAATATTTGGCGATTATCTATGGCCATTGTGTGAGTCAATGGCCAGAGAGAAATTTGTTTATAAGAAAAACCTCCACAAACCTCCACAAACCCCGGTGAAATAAATATTTTTGAGTACTTGATAATATGATACTAGTGGGAAAGAAAAACATACCCATTACAAATAATAATGAGCTTTGGACAGATTAATTGCATCCCATTTTTTTTACCATATTAAAAGTATATAATTTCCTCCCGTGATGTATTACTATCATTATGTGAATATGACAGCCTCCTCAGGATTTTTCTGATTTAATTATGCTATCTTCTTTGTGGAAGTATCTGTATATTTCACCATGAAGCATGTTAAGAATCTGATAACTTTACAAATAATTTTTATAAAACAACGATTCTGAAAAGTACTATAATATATTTCCAGGTAATAAAGATTTATTATAGAAGAAAAAGCTGACACATGAGGACCAACTATCATTGAGTGGTTAGGTAAGAATCAGTAGTGAACCACCAGATTCTTGAATCCACAGTGAGGCTGTATGTCTTCAGGTTCCTGCTGATATTTGGCTAAGCGTCTAATACCCCAACTTTCCAAGTTCTGCTGCTCAGATTTCCTTCCTCTCTTGTTTTCTCCTTAAATGAAGGAATAGGTCACACAATATGGCAAACCAGAGCTTTGTGAACACATTCATCCTCATAGGTTTTTCAGATTACCCTTATCTCCAGGCCCCCCTCTTTCTCATATTCTTGACCATCTACACAATCACTCTCATTGGAAATCTGGGGATCATTTTAGTCATCAGGATCAATCCCAAGCTTCATACGCCCATGTACTTTTTCCTCACCCAACTTGCCCTTTTGGATATTTGTTATTCCAGTGTGTTTACTCCCAAACTCCTAGAGATCTTGGTCGTGGAAGACAGAACCATCTCCTTCCAAGAATGTATGACACAATTTTTCTTTATTTGTACGTTCGTGATTACAGAAATGTTTATGCTGGCAGTGATGGCCTATGACAGGTTCGTGGCCGTCTGTAACCCTCTGCTCTAAACAGTTGCCATGTCCCGCAAGCTCTGTTCTCTCCTCATAGCTGGGACTTACCTGTGGGGCAGCCTGTGCTCAGTCATACTCACTTATTCCCTGGGGCAGCTGTCCTACTGTGCACCCGCCATCATCAATCACTTTGGCTGCGAGTACTCTGCAGTCCTCTCTGTGTCTTGTTCTGACTCATCCTTCAGCCAGATTGCCTGTTTCGTCATTTCAATACTTAGTGAGTCCTGCAGCCTCCTGATCACCCTGGCCTCCTATGTGGTCATAGTGGTCACCATCATGAGGATGCCCTCCAAGGGGGGGCTGAGGAAAGCCTTCTCCACCTGTGCCTCCCACCTGACCGCTATCAGCATCTTCCATGGGATCATTCTCTTGCTCTACTGTGTGCCCAACGCCAACAGCTCAATGCTCCTGGTGAAAGTGGCCACCGCCCTTTACACAGTCCTTATCCCCATGCTGAACCCCCTCATCTACAGCCTGAGGAACAAAGATGTGAAGGAGACAGTCAGGAGGCTCCTCCAGTCCAAATTGCATCCCCAATTGTTGTAATTCAAGTAACTGTATACATAAATTCCGAATAGACGTAAAAATCTCATTTACAATATCCATGACAATTAAAACTTAAGTGAATGCTAGTTATTTTTAATACCAATACTTGCATGACTGATGGTAATTGTCCATATGTATTCACACTCAGGTCCTTTTATTGTCTTGATTCAGCAAGGGATATAAAATATTACCATCAATTTACCTTTTATATTCTGTCAACCAGACATCGTACATTCTTGACTAAATGTTCAATCAAATATTGTTATTTTTAATTAGAAAAATTAGTTATCTAAACTGCATATTATAAAAACTTACCTAAACTGAGTATATAAAAGCTGGGAGAAGCCTTGTGCCACTGCCTCATGCCCATAATCTTTGCTAGTCAGAAGGTTGAGATCAGAGAATTGTGGTTCAAAGCCAGCCTGGGAAGCAAGTCCATGAGACACTTTTTTCCACTTAACCACCAGAAACCAGAATTGGCACTGTGGCTCAAGTGGTAGAGTGCTTACCTTGAGCTGAAGAGCTGAAGGACAGCATCCAGGCCCAGACTTCAAGCCCCATGACTGATAAAAAATAAAATAAAATAACAACACCTGTTGTGAGTTCTGTGAGTAATTATTTTTAAATTCCTGTTAAATGGAGGTGTTCTCTTTGTATTATGCAGTAGTTTAGAATTTAAGCAGACATATGTTTAAATAAGTTAATATTTATATGCATCATTCATTTTGACACATTATTGTAATTTACTACCAAGCTAATAAAAGTGGCTCAAGCTTGCAAAATAATACCATGGTTTTTAAAATGAAAAACAGAATTCTTTTTTTTAACTGTCTTTTTTTTCTTCCTTTTTTACTGATCAAAATGAATTATTCAACTCATGGGTGGAGACAGGAGGGAGGGATTGGGACTAAGTGAAGGAACAGAAGACACTATGAAAGGAAATGTACTCATTACTTGACTCATGTAATTGTAATTCCTCTGTACATCACCATTAGAATAACAATAAAGAAAACTGAAAAATGTCATATTTATGTAAGATTTTATTAACCATTTTCCTAATCGTTGTTGTAGAATTGACAGTTATAACAATGTAAAGCTCTTTGAAATAGCAATGTCTTTCTTCAGACACATACCGAAGACACTGGAAAATTCATATGGACCCCAGAAGGCAACCAAAGATCCAAAACAATCCTGAACAAAAATAAAAATGCTGAAGATGTCACAATATCAGATCTCAAACTTTACTATTCCGCTATAGTAACAAAATCAGCTTCAAGGACCAATAGAATAGCATGGACAAACCCATGTACATATAAACATTCCATTTGTGACAATGGGCCCATAAATATATCCTGGAAAAAGACAGTCTTTCTCATAAATGGTGCTGTGAAAACTGACATGCCTAAGGAAAGAAGACAGAATGTGGATTCCAGCTTGTCACATTCTAATATCAGTTCAAAATAGATCAAATATCCCATGTAAGACCTGAAAATTTGAAACTATTGCAAGTTGCAGGGAAAATATTTGAAGGTATTGTCATAGAAGCTAAGTAGAATCGCAGGGGCTCAGCAAATTCAGGAGAATTTACAAATGGGATTTCATTGAGCTAAAATTATTCTTCACAAGAAGGACATACTTATTAAGCATCAATCCAGGATACAGAATGGGAGAAGATATTTGCCAGCTGTAGTTTAGCAATAGCCTAAAATCTAGAATATTAAAGAAACTCAAGAAACTAACCACTCCCCCACAAAAAACACCCAAATAAGCTACTTAATAAATGGACAAAGAAGCTAACTTGGAACTTCTCAGAAGTAAAAATGGCCAACAAATACCTAAAGAAATGATTGACATGTCTGACTATAAAGGAACTGTAAATCAAAGCAACACTGACATTCTTTCACAATCTAGTAGAAATAGCTCTCATGAAGAATAAGAATAAGCACCATCTCTTCTTTATGAGAATTCTTCAGGGATATTTCCTTCAAAAATTAAGTGAATGACAGGTGCCCAAATGCAGGATCTATGACAATGTCTTGGTGTTAGTGCATATGTGAATATACATGTACATACGTGTGAATGTTAGTGAGAGAAATTTGGAATAGATCTTTTAGGTTACAGCACTCCTCATATGGATTTGGGAGAGAATAAAATGACAGGGACAACTGAAAAAAGAAATTAACAATTTGCAAACATCCATCATTGATACCTGCTTATTTGACTGCCCAGATAGAAGAGAGAGTCAAAGGGAATACTATGATTACATATTGATATGATTTAAGTCACTGTTACTGAACTAAGGAGAGAGATGGGAAATTAATAATGTTGGCTAATGTTGGCTAAAAGTTTGCTGTATGATTATTTTCCTATTTTCTTGGCTTCACTTTTTCTATTAACCCGTATTAAGAGAGATAGCCAGTATATGTAGGAGTTAGGCAGAAAAGGTTAGATAAGTTGATATTACAGAAATGAACCCCAAGATAAGTATCCAAATGCTTTTTTTTCTTTCTTGCAATTGTTTCCAACATATTTATAAGATGATTTCTCTGTTTCTTTGTATGTATCTCCCCCAGGGTATAAGCCCTGATTTCACTGTATTTGATGTTGGTTTAATTTGTGGAGGGGAAGAGAAAAAACAAATTGTTTAAATAGGGATACAGATGGACCCATTGCAACAATGAGATGTACAAGATGTTATGTCGAAAACAAACTTTACAACTTTGGTGGGGGGGCGGGATTGGGTAGGAGAGGCGGGTCGGGTATGGGAAGGGCTGGGAAGGGGAAACAAAGGAGGAGACAACAATGCTTGATAAGAAATGTACTCGTTATCTTGCCCATGTAATTGTAATCCCTCTGTACGGCATTTTCACAACAAAAAATTAAAAAAAATAATAATTCAAAAAATAAGAATAAGAACCGACCTAGATGCCCCTCAGTAGATGAATGGATAAAGAAAATTTGGTATATATACACAATGGAATTCTATGTCTCCATCAGAAAGAATGACATTGCCCCATTTGTTAGGAAATGGAAAGACTTGGAAAAAATTATATTAAGTAAAGTAAGCCAGGCTCAAATAAACATAGGTCTCATGGTTTCCCTTATTTGCAATAACTAGTATATGTCTGAGACAAGCAGAAACTGTCAGACAAGTTGATATTAGTCAAAATGAACCCCAAGATAAGGATTCAAATGTTTTCTTTTCTTTCTTGCAATTGTTTCCAACATACTTATAAGATGATTTCCCTGTTTCTTTGAATGTATCTCCCCCAGGGTATAAGCCCTGCTTTCACTGTATTTGATGCTGATATAATTTGTGGAGGGGAAGGGAAAAAACAAACTATTTAAATAGGGATACAGGTCGACCCATTACAACAATAGATGTACAAGATGTTATGTTGAAAAATGAACTTTACAACTTTAGCAAGGTGGGGTGTGGGAGGGTGGGGGTAGTAATGGTAGGGAGGTGTAGGAGTGTGGGGGTGGAGAGGGGAAGGGATGGTTTGGGGAAACAAAGGAGGAGGCAATAATGTTTGATAAGAAATGTATGCACTATCTTGCCCATGTAATTGTAACCCCTCTGTATGGTATTTTCACAATAAAAAAAGACTAAGAACAATTGTTGATCAGAATGTGGGGGAAAAGTAGCCCTGATACACTATGGGTGGAATTGTAAACTAGTATAAGCACTATGGAATGTTTATCGATTCCTCAAAAAACTAAACCTAGAACTACCCTGTGATGCAGGAATACCATTCTTGGGCATTCTCCCAAAAGGCTACAAGTCAACGTGCAGCAAAGATTCCTGTAGACCATGTTCATTGATATAGACCAGTTACGGAAATAGCCCAAATGCTCAAAAATAGATTAGTGGATCATGAAAAATATACATAAATATATCTCCATCTATGCATATATACATATATATATATACACTGTATGAGTATATGTGTATACATATATGTAATATAAATATACACATGTACACATACACACATATATGTATATGTTTTCATGTGCAAAACAAAATCTCTGATTGCCTGTTATCAGTTTTATTCACTCTATCTTATACCAGGGAGGTAGCTGAATAGTGAGGTTTGCTTGTCCATTTGAGCACGTGTAGCAATATTTATGGAAAATCCACGTATCTAATCGATCTCAATGATGTGAAGCCCCATTTGGAGGAACACATGGGATAGAATTCCCAGTCTAAATATGAAAAAGATGTGTAGAGTATGTGAGATATTTTCCTGTCTGAAACCATGAGGAAAAGTGAAGTGAAGATTTACATCAAAACTACTTATGTTGGTGATACTGGAAAACACGTGACTATTCACACAGTTAATTTTTCACAATGCTATGCAGAGGTAATTTTTTAGGTCACAGACTTTTCTGCCTGGGGTATGTTTGAAGTACAATCTACAGATCTCAGCCTCCTGAATTGCTAGGATTACAGGGGTGAGACATTGTTGCATAGCACATGTTTATGGTTCACAAAAATTTATTCTGTAAGTAACAGGAGGGAGAGGAAGTTTTCTCTCATGACTTTATAGTTCACACAACAAACTATCAGGATTCCCGTGGGTCCGTGTCCCCAAAGTCAAGCAGGTAGACATGGAATAAACATTATAATCCTTGAGGAATAAATGTGCGTTCGCTCTTTTACTTGAAACGTCTCGAACCTCTCTCTAAAATATTTTGACAATCAAAAATATACTGTTATTTGCCTCTTTCATGACATTCTATGTTTAAAGAATCATTCAAAAGAATATAGAACATTTGAGGTTTGCAGAAAGCTGTATAATCACAATCAATAATGTAACTCAGGAAAACTGGCTCATGGTAAGTTGTTTTGACATTGGCTTTCACTATTACATCAAGTATATTCAGCTCTAGAAAACATGGGGCATAAAATCCTATTATTTTAGTGTTTATTTTTAGTTAATGATATATATATATATATATTAAGATGCTAATCCCTATGCTCATTTTTCCTAGTA